TCTCCTCTGTGGGTCAGGACCTCATGTCTCTGTTTTTGTTGAAGAGGCTGGTCTGAGACTTCCCTCCCCACCTTGGGGTTGTGGGCCTCCCCATCACAGCCCTGGCTATTTTATGTTAGACTCAGGAATCCTTTAAAAAATTTTATTACATTGATTGATCGATCAATTGATTTTTGTGTGTTCACGGGCATGTGTGAATATATGCATGCTCTGGTGTGTGTGTGTGTGTGTTTAAACTTGCAGTAGTTGGGTTCTCTCTTTCCACCATGTGGGTTCTGGAAATTGAACTCAGGTCATCAGGCTTGGCAGCAAGCACCTTTACCCACTAAGCCATTTTGCTGGCCCTCAAGAATCTTTTTAAACTACTGATCCCTGGACTCTGTTTCCAGAGGTTCTGATGTAAGTGACAGGGAATGTAGCCTAGTACCAAGGGTGCTTGAAAAAGCTTTTTCAACATAAACCTATATCCAAAGTAATACTCTGATTTTAAGCCACCAGTTCAACAATTTCTTGTATTTACAGGTGTATGTAAACACCATCTATTTCAAGATGTAGTGTTTTCAAGGACCTATTTTAAGGCCCGTGTTCCAGTTTGCTTTCTATTGCTATGATAAAACATTGACCAAAACCAAATTGGGCAAGTTACTGGTTAGTACATCGTCGAGGGAAGCCAAGGCAGGAACTCAGGCAGGAACCTGGAGGCAGGAACTGAAGCAGAGACTATGGAGGAACACTGCTTACTGGCTTGCTCGCTCTGGCTTGCTCAGCTATCTTTCATATACAGCCCAGGCCCACCTGCCTAGGGATGGCAATGCCCACGGTGGGTTGGGCCCTTCTACATCGATTAGCAATCAAGAAAATGCCCCATAGACATACCCATAGTCCAATCTGCTGGAGGAAATCCCTCAGGTGAGGTTCCCTCTGCCCAGATACATCAAATTAACAACCAAGATTAGCCATTACAACCTGTTTAACCCACATGCACTCCCGAATAGCTAAGCGTGAGGCTCAACACAAAGCCCTAAACTGACTTAAAACATTATGAGAGTCATTTGCCACTTTTTAAAAACTCAGTCACGCAGTTCCTGAGCATGATCTTTGTAGATAACAGTGTTATGTTTCACTGTCAAAAGGTTGGGCAGGTCTCCTAGGTGATTCCCTCACGCCGTCTCCCAGCCAACAACACCTCAGAGAGGACTACTCTTCTGATTTCTGAAACCATCAATAAGGGTTGTCAGGCATCTGTGTTAAAAAGAAATCTCAGGTTGAGATGTGGCTCGGTTGGTAGAGCATTTGCCTAGCATGCATGAGGCCATGGTTTGATCCCCAGCACTGCATAAACCATGTGTGGTGGTGCATGCCTGTGATTCCAGAGTTCTGGAAATGGAGGCAGGAGGATAAGAACTTCAAATTCAGCCTCAGCTGCACAGTGAGTTCCAGGCCAGCCTGGAATACATGGGACCCTGTTTCAGAAACAAAAAACAAATGACAAGGGGCTGGAGAGATGGCTCAGTGGTTAAGAGAACTGACTGCTCTTGCAGAGGACCCGGGCTTGATTCCCAGCACCCACATAGAGGCTAACAACAGTCCATAACCCAGTGCCAGGGGATCCAACGCCTTCTTCTGACCTCCTCGGGCATTGCAGGACATGCGTGCACTTGCACACATGCCGACAATACATTCATACACAAAAAATCATAAATAAAAAGATTTTTAAAACAAAAAATGTCAAAAAACTTAAAAATATCAATTTAATTCTGTTGTTCAAATACAGCTGAATGCCATTCATCTTGTCTTATGGGTCAATGAAGAAACTGAGGCCCATTTTAGGAATTTAAACAGGTCACACTACAAATTCACAGCGAACAGTGGGAGTGGAATTTGGCTTTCCTGATTTCCAGTCTGTAGCTGCCTTTTTCATCCTATAATCCAAGGACCTAAAGCCCAAGGTCCCCTTGCAGGTTCCTGGGGAAGGGCAGCTGGGAGGGAGTCTGGGAAACCATCAGGTCCAGTCCCCTGCATCTAACAAGTTGATCAAATTTGAAGAGCCTGAGGCGGGCATGGGCTCTCTGGAAATGTGCCCTGAGGTTGGCTCTGCTTTCCCCAAGTGTTGCCAGGAGCCTGAGCCCCCTGCCCTGGAGTCACCTTATCTTGACATCATGGTGGCTGTGTCTTTGCAGACCTGGATGAGCCTGTGCTGACTGTGCACCAGACAGTGAGCGATGTTCGAGGCAACTTCTACCAAGAGAAGACGGTGTTCCTGCGCTGCACCGTCAACTCCAACCCGCCTGCCCGCTTCATCTGGAAGCGAGGCTCTGACACCCTGTCCCACAGCCAGGACAATGGGGTTGACATCTACGAGCCCCTCTATACCCAGGTCAGGATGGTGTGGACCTTCCCCTGCATCCCGACTCTTCCTCCTGCATCCCACAAGATCCTGGGGACTGAGGCCTGTTGACCTGGAGTGCTTGAGACTGCTCTGACTTCAATAGTTCAGTGCGTGTGTCAGAGGCACACACTGTTTTTGGAGTTCAGACAGCCTGGGGTTGGGAAGTCAGAATAGAAAGGTCAGGGGGCAGTGTGGGAACAAAGGAGTCCCTAAAACAACCTACTCTTCAGATCATGGATGGTTAGGAAAAACCCACCAGTGGACAAGCAAACCATCCTTGTCTGCTGCTGGCTGGTTGAGATCAGGACCCAGGGGTGATACTGCAAGAGTTGGGGTGGTAAGGTCGCTCCTCATCCCATGCTCCCTGCAGTTCCAAGAGGTGGTGACAGAAGCCTTCCTTCCAGGGAGAGCTTTTGGAGGTGACTGTCATAGCCCCACGTGCAGCCTGTGGGTCAGTCCCATGCTTGTGTGCATTGTAAGACACAACAATATTCCCTCCTTCCCTATCCATTTTCCAGAAGGGTGATACTGAGCCTGGTTCTGGACAGAATGCACCAGGGCAGCCTCTGCCCAGAGAAGCCCACTCCTGGGGGCATGGAGGCTTTCTGGGGGAAGAGGGTATGGGTGGAGCTTGAGGAGATGGGAACTGGGAATCAAAATTGCCTGTTGTGGGTGGTGGATGAACGAATGTGGGAGCCCCAAGCAGGTCCCTCACTCCAGTGGTCCACTACAACCTAGGGGGAGACCAAGGTCCTGAAGTTGAAGAACCTTCGGCCCCAAGACTACGCCAGCTACACCTGCCAGGTGTCCGTGCGCAATGTGTGTGGCATCCCAGATAAGGCCATCACCTTCCGGCTCACCAACACCACAGGTACAGGCACGTCCCCACCTGTATCCTTGGTCCACCTGGACCAACTCCTCATACAAACGTCCAGCTCCCGCTCCCCATAGTTTGCTCTGGGTTCGCCCTCTCATCCCTGCCAGTGTTTTCCTGACTGCGCCCTCCTCCCCCAAGGTTTCCCTGCTCCCTCTTCTCCCTCCCATCCAGCCCTCACAGCTTCCTAAGACCCCCACCTCCTTTTTCTCTTAGCACCACCAGCACTGAAGCTGTCTGTGAATGAAACTCTGGTGGTGAACCCCGGGGAGAATGTGACGGTGCAGTGTCTGCTAACAGGCGGTGACCCCCTCCCTCAGCTGCAGTGGACTCATGGGCCTGGCCCACTGCCCCTGGGTGCTCTAGCCCAGGGTGGCACCCTCAGCATTCCTTCAGTACAGGCCCGGGACTCTGGCTACTATAACTGCACAGCCACCAACAATGTGGGCAACCCAGCCAAGAAGACGGTCAACCTGCTGGTTCGATGTACGTGGCCTGGAGGGTTTGTTGGTTAGTTGTGGGACAAACAGGGTCCCTGTTCTTCAGGGACTGCAGGTGAACCAGGAGAGGGGCCTGTCTCTTTCCCCCCCAGGAGGTGAGGTGTGCTGAGGAATCTTGTTCCAGGCACTTTGATTTCCCTGCAATTCAGCGTTCTGTCAGCAGGAGACAGAAGAAGCGAAATTTGCAATTAACATTTCTTTTATTTTTTTAAAGCATTTTATTTATTACAATTTTAATTTTATGTGTATGAGTGTATTGCCTGAATGTATGTAAGTGTGCCTGTGTCATTCAGTGCCCATGGAGGCCAGAAGAAGGTGTCAGATCCCCTGGAACCGGAGTTACGGAAAGTTGTTAGCCACCATGTGGGTGCTGGGAACTGAACCTGGGTCCTCTGCAAGAGCATCCAGTGCTCTTAACCGCTGAGCCATCTCTCCAGCCCCACAATTTACATTTCTAAATATAACTTCAGCCATTCAAGAAGTAAGAAGGGCTGGTTTTGATGAGGTTTCTTTTAGACTGGCAAACTGAGGCTGCAAAAAGCTAAATGTGAGCCAGGCGTGGTGGTGCACACCTTTAATTCCAGCACTCGGGAGGCAGAGGCAGGAGGATCTCTGTGAATTCGAGCCCAGCCTGGTCTACATAGTGAGTTCCGGGACAGCTGGGGCTACAGGGAGACCCTGACTCAAAAAGACAAAAAAGAAAAAAAGATAAATGTGGATATTATAAATTTTGAGAGAAATTTCTTGGCTTTCTTCCTAGCTACATGATTGACTGAATTTAAATGAAAATAACACACATTTCCATAGACCATATATGCAAATATTTAGTGGCAAAGCACATCAGTGAATCTGAAGATAATTACTAAGTGTAAAACAATATCAAACTTGGAGCAAGAGCTAAGGAAAAACTCCTTCATTCTAAACCGCAGCCTTGGTTACCGTCATTAGCTGCTTGTTATAATCTGGAGCTTCTCTGATTCAAGAAGAAAACTCTCAATTCTTTTCCTTGTGCAGTGTTAGGTGGTGTTGTTAAGACCCAGGCTTGCAAGTCATGATGGTACACACCTGTAATCCCAGCACTTGGGAGGCGGATGCAGGACGATCAGGAATTCAAGGTCATTCTTGGCTACAAAGCAAGTCTGAGGCTAGCCTAGGCTATCTGAGACCCAATCTCAAAACATAAAAACAGGGGCTACAGAGATGGTTGCAAAGGATCAAGTTTTGGTTCCCAGCACTCACATAACAGTTCACAACCTTCTGTAACTCCAGTTTCAGAGGGTCCAGCACCCTCTTCTGGCCTCCTTGGGCACATGGTGCACGTACATACATTCAGGCACTCATACACATTCATTTTAAAAACAAAACAGGTACGTAATAAGATCCAGGCTTATTCCTAGCTTCTTAACCTTGAACATCAAGTCAGTACAGCTTCTGACAAATGTATCTGAGACTCTGATGACGTGGACTCTTGTCTGTGTTCAACTCTCCCTGACCCGTCAGTTTCCTTCTGACTCTTTGACCAGCAAGATGCCAGCTCTCTTGGACTTGATTTAGACTGATAAAGAAAGTAATAAGATCAGGGCTCTCTGGTTACTCTGTTTTCTTTTCCATGATACGTTTCCCATCAGAGAAGAGCAGTTTCCATCTGATTCTGTTTAGTCTTTAAAACATGGGATGTCAAGCTCTTGTTGGACATGAGCTGCAGTCATCTCTCAGGTGACTCTGTAGCCTGCCTTGGCTGGGCCAGTCCTAAGATGTGGCTTTTGGACCAGGGTCCTATCCAGTTAGTACTCAACCTATTAAAGACTCTATTGACTGAGTTTAAATGAGATCCACATTTTATTTTAAAATATTTATTATTTATGAGTATATGCACATTTAATGTTAGGGTTAGGGTTTTGGGTAGGGGTTAGTGTTAGGTACAAGATTAGGGCTATTAGAGTTGAATTTAGGGATACAATTAGTAGTTGGGGTAGTGCTAGACTTTTAGTGTTAGGGCTAGGGTTAAGGCTAGATTTAGGGTTTGGGATTAGGGTTAGTTTTAGGGTTAGGATTAGATTTAGAGCTAGGGTTCTCATTAGGTTTAGGGTAGGGTCTAGGGTTCTGTTTAGGGTAAGGTATGGGTTAGGGCTATGGTTAAGATATTGTTTAGGCCTAGGTTTTGAGTTTGGGTTAGGGTAAGGTTTAGGGATAGGGTTAGGGATAGGTTTAGGGAAGGATTATGTTTATGGTAGGTTTAGTTTCCGGTTTAGGACTAGTGTTTGAGTTGAGTTTGGGGCTAGGGTTAGTGTTTGCCTTAGGGCTAGGGTTCTGTTTATGGCTAGGGTTAGGGTTGGGAATACAGCTATATTTAGGGCTAGTGATGGGATTAGGGTTAGGGTTATGGTTAGGGTTAGTTCTAGGCTAGGTTTATGGCAGGGTTATTCAGCCCAAGATAACATTTTAAAAAGCAGCCAGATCCTTACTTTTCTAAATTGTCTTTATGTAATTGTATGCAAGATAATCATGTTGGTCTTTTATCATGAAAAATTGCACAGGCTGGGAAAGATTCGAATATTACAAACGGGGAAAATGCACAAATTAATTCCCTTTCGGTTTCCTTCATTCTAGTCTAGATAGAATCAATTACTAAGGTTTTACTCTAAATTGGTATTTTGCATACTTAAGGGTTAAAACCCAAATAAAAATAAAACTGTTGTGGCCAAGAATGCTTTAGGGGAGAAGTTGGTTTGACTGGCTGAGTCCCCGTTCCCTACCTTGCAAGATGGGGACAGTGGAGTGGCTCCCTCAAAGACAGTGAGACAGGTTAGAGGCCTTAATCTGAGTATGCTGTTTGTACCAGTGCCTCTCTCAGCAGCGTGTGCTCATCAATAATGTCTGGAGTCAGTAGTCAGTATGAACCTCTCTTTTCTGCAGGAAGCTCTTTAAAGCTTTTAAAACATCTCTGAGCCAGCAGAAACATTTCTAAACTGAGGTGTGTGTGTGTGTGTGTGTGTGTGTATCTGTCTGTCTGTCTGTCTGTGTCTGTGTCTGTATGTGTGTATGTGCGGGGGTGGGGTGTAGCCCTAATCTCCAGAGGGCCAGTTTAAGGGGAGAAGCTGAGGTGGGACATGGATACCTGTCTTTGGGCCAGCCCCAGCCCTCCTTTGCCCCCCACCCATCCCCTTGCAGCTTTGAAGAATGCCACCTTCCAGATCACCCCCGATGTGATCAAGGAGAGTGAGAACATCCAGCTGGGCCAGGACCTGAAGCTGTCTTGCCATGTGGATGCGGTGCCCCAGGAGAAGGTGACCTACCAGTGGTTCAAAAATGGCAAGCCAGCACGTATGTCCAAGCGGCTGCTGGTGACCCGCAATGACCCGGAGTTGCCCGCCGTCACCAGCAGCCTGGAGCTCATTGACCTGCACTTCAGTGACTACGGCACCTACCTGTGCATGGCGTCCTTCCCAGGGTCACCCGTCCCTGACCTCAGCATTGAGGTCAACATCTCCTCTGAGACAGGTGGGAGCTTTGGGGAGCTGTGTGTGGAGGTGGAGAGGCCCAATGTGGTGTGGTTCTAGGAGCAGCCTAGACTAGAGGGAGGAGCGCACCATTTCCTTATGTGACACACATCTTGAGCCCCTATGCCATGCCAGGCACTGTGACAGTCCCTGGAGTAGAGCGATGGGGAAAAAAATAGACTTTGCTTTCATTGAATTTGAAAACACTTTTCAGGTAGTCTCACAAATAAATAGATCATTGCAAACTGTCCTTTGAATTCATGAGATCGGAAGGCGGGACAGGGTTTTGCTAAGCAAAGGAGAGCAAGGGAAGTGGGGGTTAGTGGGAGGGAGCAATGTGGGCCACAGAACCAGCATGTGCAAAGCACTGTGGTAGGAGATCACACTGGCCATGTGGAGAACAGAAGACCTCAAGAGCGTGGCTGCAGGATGGAGTGAGGGCGGCCGAGGGAGGCTGCCAGGACTGGATTGTGTGGGGTTTCTGAGGCTGGACTGGGTTTCTAGAGTGGCCGCAGCAGTACCACACACTCCAGCTGCAGAAAATCACTTCCTCATAGCTGCGGAGGCTAACGGCCTGATCTGAGGTCAAGGTGTGGGCAGGGCTGGACTCTCCTTGGGTGGCTGATGGTGGATGGCTGATGGCATCTTCTTGTGATCTAGGCAAGGTTTTCCTCCTGTGTGTGTCTGTGTCCTAACCCACTCCACTCATAAGGACACCAGTCAGACTGTGGTAGGGGGCATCCTGGTGACTTCAGTCTTTACTGAGTCTTTAAAGGCCCAGCCTCCAAATACAGTCCACATCCTCAGGCATTGGTGTTAGGATGGCAACATAGGGATTTTGAGGGGAAAAGTTCAGCCTTTAACAGGCCATGGCAAAGATTTGGGTCTATTCCCAGTATAACATAGTAAGGGAATGACAGGAATGATTGTGTTTCACTGTATGTTCTGGTGAGTTTATGATTTCTTCATTCACTTCATTTATTTATTGTGTGTGTACTCACACACAAGCACACGCATGGCACATGTGTGTGTGGGTCAGAGGATAACTTTTGGAGTTGGTCTTCTCCTTCTCCCATGTGGGTCTCAGAGATCGAGCACTGATCAGCAGGCTTGGAAGCAGGCACCTTTATGAGCTGAGCCATCTCACTGGCCCAGGGTGGCAGTTTATCTTCTTGTTTGCAAGTGAAGAAACAGGGCTCTGAAACTTGAGTTTGAGAAGCTTAGGGAGTGGGAGTGGTGGGGCCGGGGTGAGCACACACAGTCAGGGACTTATGGAGTCTATGCTTGGGCCAACACTTGGGGAGAATGGCAGGAAATGGAAGGGGGAGTGTCTTTGGAAGAGGGCTTCTTCTACTGAAGAGTCCATTGACTTTGGCGGCTGAGTCACGTGACCAGACACTACAATAAAGACTCTTATGTTTTTCTTCCTTTGACTTCTGGCCTCAGTTTCTCTATAAGTGATTAGACCATGTGACCTCAGAGGCCTCTCCCACTCTGACATCTGCACAGGGGGAATTCCAGTGAGACTGGAGAGGCCAAGAGAGGCTTGTAGAAGGAGATGAACTTGAACCAGGTCTTGGGAGTGGACCAGAACTCCATAGATTCCATGATTCATTATGAAAACTGCTTTGTGCCAAGCCCTGGGTGAGGAGCTGAGACTCGGACCCCAGCACCATCAGCCTCTTCCTCAGAACTCACTGCCTGGGCAGGGGGAGCTAGCCTCAGGGGAAGAGGGATATGCTAGAATTCTAACCTAGGAGGTGAAGAAAGGGTCTGTAAGGACCACACTATTGAGGGAGAGCCAGGCTGCCTAAGGAAGGAGGAGGCGTGCTCCCGGTGTGGAGGGTGTGGGAGAATGCCAGGTGAGGGGCTCAACTTGGGAAGGGATATAGCAAGCAGAAAGAACAGAGGGGCCCTCAGCGAAGGTGTGTTCTGGGGTGTGTTCTTTGCCAGTGGATCTTGCAGCTAAAACACCAGGGGGGAGAAGAGAGCTGAGGCTGGGGGTGACAGAGGTGAGAGTCCCAGGGCCTTGTTCACAGATCCCAGGTGCAGCGGCTTTAACCCAAAGGCACGTGGTTAGAGAGGGGGGCATCTCTTCAACCTGTGGGGGGCTGGAGGGCTTGGGAGCTGAGTAGTATCTGCTCTAGGGAAAGGTCCAGGGCTGTTTCTGCATTTGGCTCATGGATCTGGTGCCCAGTGTGTGGGAGCCTTTTATAAGCCCCTGGAAATGATTTAGACTTGAAAAAATAATGAACCAGCTCCAAAAATACAAAGAGAAAGCTGCAAAACACAAGCCAGTAGAGGTACGGCTGTTGGCAGGGTGTAAATGATGCAAACTAGTCCACTGGACCTTAGCCTGCCTTGTGCAGCTATTTGCAAATATTCACTTTAATATTTAATTATATTTAATGTTTGGTACTTGACATTTGATGATAAAACGCACAGGCACATTTTAATTGGTTCAATGTGGGCTAGAACCCAGGCAGGTCTTCCAAAGACCCACCATTTGGGCAATGTGTTGGGATGAGGTAGGTTTAGCTGTGAATATTGAGCTCTAAGTAGTAGTGGTTTAGCAACTGGGGTGTGGCTCAGCAGGGGAGCCACTGGCCCAGCATGTAGAAGGCCCTGGGCTCTGTCCTCAGCACCACATAAACCACTAGGCTCAATCCAGTTCTCAGGATCCCAGGCTCCTCCTACTTCCTGTTTCACCAAACAGGTGCCTCCTCCTCCAGGATGGCAGTCCCACCTGTATCCAGTGATATGTATAAAACCCTGTAAGAAGGTCAGAGAAGGCCTTTATTTTCTTTCATATCCCATTGGTCAGCATTTAACCCTTGACATGCTGGGAAATGTAGTCTTTATTCTAGGTGGCTGTGTGCCCTGCTAAAACCAAGCATTTTACTACTTTGGAAGAAAGGCTATGGGGATGTTGGTGGATCGTCTAGCCTTCATTGGTAACACTCCAGGCAAGAAATGCCAAGAGCCAGAAGGCAGGGGTAGGAAGGAGAGGCTAAAAGGTGGGATCCCACAGGTGTGTTGGCTACTAGCCTGTAACATCAGCACTTGGGAGGCTGAGGGTGTAGGACCAGGAGTTCAAAGTATGAATAATGTTTGGTTAGAGGAATGGCCAGACTGACTTTAGGGCTCGTGTTGAGTTGGGGGAGCCTGAGATGGAGATGCAGGAGGTAGAGAAGATTATTTGACAAAGCGGGCTGAGTTCTGGGCATTCTGAGGGAACCGTAGGATGTGTGCATGGGCTGGACTGTACAGGGAGGAAAGCCAGAGGTCAGGGGTCTCTAACTTCATCCTCCTCTCTCCTCCTTCCTCCAGTGCCACCCACCATCAGTGTCCCCAAGGGCCGGGCCGTGGTGACTGTGCGTGAGGGCGCTCCTGCCGAGCTCCAGTGCGAGGTTCGGGGCAAACCCCGGCCGCCCGTGCTCTGGTCCCGCGTGGACAAGGAGGCCGCCCTGCTGCCTTCGGGACTGGCCCTGGAGGAGACTCCAGACGGCAAGCTGCGGCTGGAGCGTGTGAGTCGCGACATGAGCGGCACCTACCGATGCCAGACAGCTAGATACAATGGCTTCAACGTGCGTCCCCGGGAGGCCCAGGTGCAGCTGACGGTGCACTGTGAGTCCCCCTCCTCCAACACCCATCGTAGGCCACCCCCACTGTTCACCTGCTGTTTGAACAACTAAAAACTCCTTGATAGCTCCTTTGCGCAGGCACAGAGAGGTTAAGCAACTTGTCTGGATTCGCACAGCTAGATGGAAGGCATGGCTGGGATTTGAACCTGGTCCGTGCAAACTCTAGAGATAGTGCCTGGACCCTTGGCTGGAGGGAATGGCCGGGAGGGAGCATTGGAGGGTCACAACTAAAGTTGACCCACCACCCCTGCCCCCAGTCCCGCCCGAGGTGGAGCCGGGTTCCCAGGACGTGCGCCAGGCGCTGGGCCGGCCGGTGCACCTGCGCTGCTCCCTCCTGCGCGGCAGCCCCCAGCGCATCGCCTTGGCCGTGTGGCGCTTCAAGGGGCAGCTGCTGCCCCCGCCGCCTGTGGTCCCCGCAGCCGCCGCGGAGGCCTCGGATCACGCCGAGCTGCGGCTCGATGCCCTGACTCGTGACTCCAGCGGAACTTACGAGTGCAGCGTCTCCAACGACGTGGGCTCAGCCACCTGCCTCTTCCAGGTCTCCGGTGAGAGTCCCACCCCCACCTGCTCCATCTAGGCCATAAAGTTTCCTCCAGGGTCCTTGGCCTCAGAGGCTGTGGATGGGGAAACTCCTTGGGCGTTGAACTTGAGGCTTCGAGGTGAAAAGGCACCCCTAGACAGCTCTGGAATGTCAGGGTGAGACTGCGCGTACCTGCGCACATTAAACCTGAGCTGCGTCTTAGAGGTGCATGCAAGCCTTTAGATTGCCCAGAAACCCCTCTCAAGTTCTCCTTTGCACCTGGCCTCTCCCAGATGGGCCGACAAGGATACAGGCAGGGGAGGACTGCTGGAGAAAGGCATGGTAGAGGTCATGGAGAGGGCAGAGGGCAACATAGGCCTCTTGGATTGCCCACTACATTGGGAGAGTCATCTTCTTTCCACATCTGGTAGCCCGTGACCCTGAAGTGACTTGTCCCCCGATTGCCTGGCACCCCCTGATTTCTTAACTGCCCCCAAGGCACCAGGTACCCCCTCCAACTCTTGTCCTTCCTGATTCCCAGATTCAACAGCAGGGAGTTAGGGTTGGAGATCACTAGTCACTTCCCTGGCCCCTCCCAACCCACTCAGCCCTGCCAGCCAGAGGCCCCTGTGACATTTCCCACCTCCTTCCCTTGTTTCCTGTTCTCCTACACTCTGTCTCCCCACCTTACGGCCTTCATCCATTGTCTCTTCTTTCCCTTTCTTTGTATACCTGACCCTTGTGTCTCTTCCCAATTCTCCATAATATCCCTTCTCTTTCTCTGTTTCTTCCTCGGCCTTTCCTCTCCATTCTCGCCAACATCTCCTCCTGGAACTTACAATCTCCCCCTCTCTATCTCCACCCCCCCACCCCATCTACATCCTCCCCACCCCATCTCCTCCCAACACCAAATCTCACCACATCCCTTTCTCTTTGAATTGCTCCTGCTCCTCTCCCCCTCCTCGCTGTCTCCCTTTCCCCATCTCCCCTCTCTGTTTCTCTCCTACTCCCCCTCCACGGCCCCATGCCCCCCTCCCTGCCCTCTCAGCCAAAGCCTACAGCCCGGAGTTTTACTTCGACACCCCCAACCCCACCCGCAGCCACAAGCTGTCCAAGAACTACTCATATGTGCTACAGTGGACCCAGAGGGAGCCAGATGCAGTGGACCCCGTGCTCAACTACAGACTCAGTGTCCGCCAGGTGGGCCAGGGGCATGAGGTGTGGGCAGTGGGGACTGGTATGGCTGATCCTGGAAATAGGGTCAGGGGAGGAGTGTGAGTCAGGGACTCAGACACATAGCTCCTCTGTCCAGAGAACTTTTCAGAGGTGAGGAAGAGTCTGGATGTAGCAGCCAGGTCTACACCAGGATGAGCACATGGGCTCTGAATTTTCCTGGGCACAGCTAGGACTCAGACATGAGCTGGCTGGGGTCAGGGTGGAGCCAGCACAGCTCACAGAATGAGCATCTCTCCTTGCATCCAGGGCTTAGGGCAGGGGCTCTGCTATACAAAGTCAGAGTCTATGAGCCATTCTCATGTCCACCCCGTCTAATTCCATGAGGACAGCTGGTGGGAGGCTAAGAGTGTGGCTTTGAGGGGCAGGGCCTAGGTGTGGAGCCAGCTTCCGAAGAGTCTTCGAAAGCTTACAGCTCTTTGATTTTTTACTTATTCAAGAAGTGGAGGTAATGTTAATATTTTACCTCAGAAGATTTTTATTTTGAGTATAAAATGAGTTAGTGATGGCTAAGCACTTTACAGTACCCAGCATACACTGTCTCATAAATGGTGCGATCAGTATTACTATAGTGACGGCCCTGGGAGGGGACCTAGAAGAACACATTGCCCCATCTCACAGAAGTGGAAACTGAGGGGCCTGATGTACCAAACCATTGCCCTTTCTGCTCCTTCCCAGGCTGTCCCTCAAAGGGAGGGGATGGTTTGCTGGGTATCTGAGAACTCCCTTGTATCTATAGTTGAACCAGCACAATGCCGTGGTCAAGGCCATCCCTGTGCGGCGTGTGGAGAAGGGGCAGCTGCTGGAGTACATCCTGACTGATCTCCGTGTGCCCCACAGCTATGAGATCCGCCTCACGCCCTACACCACCTTTGGGGCTGGTGACATGGCTTCTCGGATCATCCACTACACAGAGCGTAGGTGACGGTGGTGCTGGCTGTGGTGGTAGCAGGAAGGGATGGGCCCATCTCATGCCCAGGGACTCCATCTACCTTTCCTACAGTTCTTGAACGTGGAGCTCCCCACTGTGCAGTCTATCCTGTCACTGGAGGTTAGGCCTATCGGTCCCCAGTCCTGGTCCTGAAGATCCTGTCCCCGTCCCCTCAGTCTGGCACATTTTGCATAGCTACAAGCCTCGGTTCTGACTTGGTTTCCTTACTTGCTTTTTCAGCCATCAACTCTCCGAACCTGTCAGGTGAGAGCCAGTCCATAATTTCCCCTTTCCTTTAGGGACACAGGGCCTCTCCTGGTGGGAAGAAGGGACCTTAAAGGATACCCAGAGAGAAAAATGACTTCCTGTTTCCATGGAGAAGGGCCAGCAACCGTCGGAGAGCTAGAATGGAGATGTTTGCATCTGGGATTTATTCTGGGGGCTTAAAGGCTTCATGCTGTTGTGTGTGTGTTGGGTGGGGGTTGTCCCTAAAAGAAAAAGAGAAAACAGACTGTCCTAATTTCATTTTGGTTGCTGTGATAAAATGCCCTGACCAAAAGCAGTTTGAGGGCAAAGGGGTTTATTCAGTTTACAATTCCAGGTTATAGTCCATCATTGGGCAAAGTCAAGGTAGAAACTTAAAGGAGCTGGTCGCATCCACAGGCTTATCTGAAGTGGATCCAGGCACGTCTACATGTGCTCAGTACATGTAAACAGTTCAGGACCCCCTGTTTAGGGGATAGTGTCACCCACAGTGGGTATATCCCTTACTTCCATTAACATAAGGCAGTCCCCCATAAACATGCCTATAGGTCAGCCTGCTCTAGACATCCCCTCCCTGAGACTGTTAAAACTAACCATCATGCCAGGCATGGTGGCTCACACCTTTAATCCCAGCACTGAGGAGGCAGAAGCAGGGTGATGGCTAAGAGTTTGAGGCTAGCCTGGTCTACACAGAGAATCCAGGCTAGTCAGGCCTACATAGTAACACCCTGTTTGAAAAACAAACAAAAACCAACGAAAAATCCAAAGAAACCCTAACCATCACATCCTAATCCTCGGGAGTAAGAATCCCTAATCTGATTGGGGGATCCTACAAGAAATCTCCATATAGAATTCAAGGGGGTGTCCACCTGAAAGGGCAACCAATTATTTATTTTCCCTAGCTTCTAACAGAAATTTATCATCCTCTTTAAGGAGGAGTATAGACAACAAACCACAGTAGAATAATCAGTACCTGTTACTTTGTCATCTGTAGAAATCCAGTGTTTTCACACCACCTAGTTGTTGCAAATATCTATAAATGTCACTTACATTCATTAGTGCTTCTAAACTACAATACTTATTAGATCTCATGATAGATCTTGTGATTTAATTATATAATAAAGAAGCCCAGTTATTATATAACAGATTACAAAAAGATTTTGACAACTGTATTTCAATATAATTGATTTCCTTTGAAGTCCCTGTGCAATTTATTTTATGTGTCTGAAATCATTCTGAGAGGGGATTCTGAAACCTCGATAGATGGCAGAGGCTATGGTACAGGGAAGTCTTGCTCTGGGAATAAATTTGTCTTGGGTCCTTTTGCATGGTCTCTCTGGCCCTGAAACCTGGACCCATTCATTCTTGGATTCTTGATAAATGGCTGAGGGATGTTAGAGGAAAAGAGTGCTAGGCTAGAGGTGCTAAGGCTGGGCCTTTTTGTCTCACCCCACCCCTAATGTCCTCAATATAGATAACACCTGCCACTTTGAAGATGAGAAGATCTGTGGTTACACCCAGGACCTAACAGACAACTTTGACTGGACACGACAGAATGCTCTCACACAGAATCCCAAGCGTTCCCCAAATACTGGTCCCCCCACGGACATCAGTGGCACCCCTGAAGGTGAGAACATGGCTTAATAAGGAATAAAAGACTGTTTCATGGAAGGGTCTAGGCCTATGGAGCTTCTGTCTGAGAGTAGAGGGTGACATGGCCTATCCCCAGGGAACCCCAGTCTGAGGAGACACGGCCTGTTCTCAAAGAGCTCTAGTCTGAAAGAGACATGGTTAGTACTTAGGGAGCCTGGATCTGAGGGAAGACAGAATTGTCTTGATTGAGGATAAGGAAGGAGAGAAATTGTTGGTAAAGCTGAGCACGCCTAAACTCTGAAGAGAGCCTCAGGGAGGACCCCCAGGGAAGAACGGCATTTGGTCGCTTGTGCTAACTCAGCTGAAGGCTGGGCAGAGGCTGGGGCAGGGGTGGGGATGTTGAGAGGCTCCTGGCTTGTTTTGCCCTTTCCTACAGGCTACTACATGTTCATTGAGACATCTAGGCCTCGGGAGCTGGGGGACCGGGCAAGGTTGGTGAGTCCGTTGTACAATGCCAGCGCCAAGTTCTACTGCGTCTCTTTTTTCTACCACATGTATGGGAAGCACATCGGTGAGTTGGAGACCAGGGTGCCTGACTGTGTGAGCTGCAGTGAAGGGACAAGGGAGCCACGGAAGGCTGGGGACTGCCCAGTGAGGCCTGAGCCTCCCAACTTGGCTAAACTAGGTCCTTTAGGGTCTGCAGGTAGAAGACTGGCTAGGGGAGAAGCCGGGAGCCAGCTGTTTGGGATTCCGAGATGCAGTGCCGGGTATGAACACAACTCAGCCATTTCAGTTGTGTATAAACTGCCTGCCGGGTACCAGGGGATAGGCATAGAGAGTAAGCATTTGCCCAAGACCACGGCAGCACAGCAACCCAGGTCTGATTTCCCTGACTCCTAAACACAACATTGGAAGAGGGCTTCTTTACAAACCAAGAATGCAAGTGCTGTTTCCTAAGTGTGAGAATGAACTTAAGCAATGTCCTTGGAGGAGATGGGGCAGGTGGGAGTGTCACTTCTGTTCGTAAGTTCATTGGAACCATCACTTCCATAGTTCCTACCTTGTGCTTTGACACAGGAGATGGGCAAATCCCTGTCCTACAGCCTAGCTGGGGACAGACCTGATGACTGATGACTGATGACTGATGACATCAGGTAGGAGTTAGTGACCACCATAGCAATGCAAGGACAGTGGGCAAGATGGCAGGTGACAAGGAAACTGGACCCACCTGGGAGCTGGTCCTGGGAGACTGCTAAGACTACGATTGTTTAAAATGTTCTTGGGACTGGAGAGATGGCTCAGTGGTTAAGAGCACTGACTACTCTTGCAGAAGACCTGGGTTCGATTCCCAGCACCCACATGGCAGCTAACAACTCCAGTTCCAGGGGATCCAACGCCCTCTTCTGATCTCTGCAAGCATTGCATGACACGGGTGAACTTACGCACATGCAGGCAATACACTCATACACATAAAATAAAAATAATAAATAAAATATTTTAAAATGTTCTTTACGCTGGGCGCAGTGACGCATGCCTTTGATCACAGCACTCAGGAGGCAGAGGCAGGTCACTCCGTCATTATGAAGACAGCCTGGTCTACATAGTAAGTTCCAGGCCAGCCAGAGATATAAATCTTTCCTTATCAGTCTATAGAAGTTGCTTCTTTGTCCTTGCAAGTCCCCTCCCCACTGAACAGCAGAAGGAACAACTTTAAGCATGCACAGTTCTCAGCTTTACCTTGGAGAAAAAGTTTCCACAGCTAGGGAGAGGAGTCAGGCTGAACAGATAAACTAGGATAGGGTAGGTGTTACACGACGGAGGTCCCCTAGCCATCCACACAGACCAGTTCACTGTGTGGGTCTCGACTCTCTAAGCGAGAGTGACCATGGCTGGCTGTCCTGGTTTCCATTCGGTTTTAGAACAGCTGGACTGTTCAGGCTTCCCCAGCCTTCCTCAGTCATAGCCCCAAATCACCCCAGTCCCAGGCAAACTGGGAGAGTAGGTTGTTGTCAGCTTGGAGAAACTGTAGGCTTCCACCTGCCAGGGGCACACTGGGTCCAGTAGGAGCCTGGGAAATCAGGCCTTATGAACTGGGAGTCAGAAAGCCAGATGGGGCAGTCTGTGACAGAACAAACACTGGGCAGCAAAGCTTGTGGGAGCATTGAGACCACCTAAGGGGAACTCTGAGTAGTAGTCTGCCCTTCTAGGAGTGGGCTGTTCCAAGAATGGAGCTATCTGGTGTGGAGGGACTCCCCCGCCCCCATACTCAGGATTCTCTGAATCTTTTTTTTTTTTTTTTTTTTTTTTTTTTTTTTTTCTATGTAGGCTGTAGTTGGCCTGGATCTCGCTATAGTAGACCAGGCTGGCTTCTCCATCTCACATATCCACCTACCTCTGCCTCCCCAATGCTGGGATTAAAGGTGTGCACCACCACAACTGGCATCCCACCTCCTCTCGGACCTTGTTTGCTGTCATGTGACATGGCACCCTGATCCCTTGTTTTTACTCAGGTCTCCGGAGTCATTCTACCAACATAACTCCCCGTTGCTTTCCTTGAATTATCTCATTCCTTCTCTGTGCTCCTCCCCCACCTCTTTCTCTCTGTATGGTATGTACATACTACCTGGTTTTTTTGTTTTTGTTTTTGTTTTTTTTTGTACGTGTGCCTTTCTGTGTGTGTTGTATGCACATGTGCCTGTTTGTGTGTGTGTGCACTGAAAAGTCAGCTGTAATCCTAATGGGTTTTCCTTTATATGTGACTTGTTATTTCTCTTTTGCAGCTTTCAGAATTGACTCTTTGTTTTGTACATTTAGTGTTTTTGCTATGATGTGCTGTGGAGAGTTTCTTTTCTGGTTCTGTCTGTTTGGTGTTCTGTATGCTTCTTGTATTTGTATGGGCATGTCTGTTTAATTTTTGGAA